TATCGTTCCTGGCGAGAAACAGCGCTTCCAGTGTATGTAGCTGTCGTTTGATGAAGACTTCTACCGAGGCGTATATCGGCGGATTTGTCGTATGATTGATGTAGCTCTCCTATTCTCGACGAGAGCGATTATCGAGAAGTTTGACGACGAGATGCATGAAGAGGTCTTCCGTTCGATGGGACGATCGATGCTTTTCAGCGAACTGACCGTAGTTTTAATGCCATGGAAGATCCTTCTCAGTTCAGCTGCGGATTTGCCTTTCATACTTGACAACGCCAGGAAGTTGGTTAAATAGTTGCGCGTCAATAATCGCTTATTCTCATAATAGTCACTTAAAGTCTTCCAAGCGATTTCGTAGTTGTCGTCCGCTGAGGTTGCGTATGAGTCCGCGTCTTCTTTTTTACAGCGCTTTAAATAATGCATTTTTTCTACAGGTTTGGCTCTTTCACTGGTTCCTGCCGATGATGGAAGAGTACCCGCAAGGAAGGCCAGTCCTCGTATTTACCGGTGAAGGTCGGCGGCTGGGTCTTTGGAAGTGCGGTCCGAGGTGCTGGGGCTGGTGTACCTGTAGCAGGCGCGCTTTCTGCTTGTTGGTGGAGTTGGAGAGCGCTCTTCAGATCGAGCATGAGGCCTTTATTTTGTAAGTACGCCTCCTCGCCTAACGACGGGATGTCTTGTTTAGCGTACACATCACTTCTTATCTCCTCAAGATGATCCGCCAGCTCATCATTAATCGCGTCGAATTTCTCCCACAGCTTCTCAAGGTTATGAAGCCGGGCCTCCATCGCGCCGAGTGTGATCTTTACTTCGCCAAGTTTCATTAGGTTCTCGTACGCGCGCGAGATTTTGCCGTACAGCCCCGTGGCGTTGGCAATAAGCGTCTTGTGTCCGCTATTTTTTACTCGTTCTGTCTTTCAGGTGCAAAAGTTCCCGCCATTGTTCATTACCGCGTCCGTGAGCACTGAGCGTAGAGGAAGTTCCGGAAGCTCCGGCTTGAAGGACCAAATTAATGTGCAAGACGGAATGCGGATTAAGGAATCGGAAGCTGGTCGGAATAAAGTTCACTTTACACGAGCGCACACGTAACATTAACACAAAAATATTTATTGTACTAACACACCAAAAAAAGTTACACTTAATACACCGAGAAAAAATAACCATGAACGAAAAACCGAGTCGATAATATAATTGTATAGCAGTCCGCAAGCAACGGAAAAAGCGCACGAAAAAAGAGACAAGCTATCACGTTTTTTCGGTTTAAGATTCGCATTCTGTTCGCGTCGACTAGCCAAACGGAAAGAACCCCGCGGTTGCTCGAAAGGAGATTCTTATAGGCACTGATTTCGAGAATATTCGCGAAAGTTTAGAATATTCAATAGTTCGATTGAGGATGAGAGAACGTGTAATGTAATTGTTTATTATCCGCGCAACATCTCATATTTGTTATTAGTATAACCAATTTTTGTTTTTTCTCGCGCAATCGCGGTGTTTATTGTTTGCCGTTTAATACGAGATAGCGTGAGTGCTTATTTTCCTAAAGCGCGGGGTAACCGTATACCTCTGCGGCCGAGCGCTAATTTATTAGAATACATTTTCTATATTTTTTTTGCACGATGCACGTGGCATGAAAATAATGCATAAAATTTCTAATGAATTTGCTTTACAGTTACTAGATTTTGATCGTTCGATTTTCGAACAGCTATGATAAACTTGTCTAAAATTTTGATACTCGTGTAAAAATTGAACAACTTGAGAAAGAGGTTCAAGCTATTTTTTTTCTATAGTCACTTTTTCACGCTTTAATATATAATTATTTTCAATTTGTAGCATTTTTACCAGATTAGGTTGTATTTTTAAATGTATTACAGATATGTTTGTGACATCATTTACTTCAAATTGTTCGCCAAAGTCAAATATTGTGAATTTGTATGGAAACATCTCTTGCATTTTTATTTCTTTAGAATATTTATCTAATTGCTGGTTAGAAAGTTATTTCATACTAATAGTTCATCAGTTTTTGATGTAGTATTTTCCGTATTTATAAAAATGCAAACTGCGACAATGTGTTTGCATTTCCCTTTTCTTGCTTTACAATTATACTATAGAAAAAACTTTTAATAGACGATCTTCATTCAGTTATATGAAAGAAAAGAAAATGTTATTTATATTTAAGATTAAGATCTATATTTAAGATTATTAATTACTATTTATTGCTAATTATTGCTATTTATTGTTATTTTTTATACAATTAAAGAAAGTACTAGAATTTTAACTATATAGATACATATAAATATATTTAATTATATATATCTACCTCTATTTTAATTTAATAAGGTGGTTCATTTATACTAGTTTCACGAATAACAGATCCTTTGACAAATCTATATTCAGGATCAATATTTTCAGAAACATTGAATACATGACTACTCTTTACAAGTCGATTACCTTTTGAAATACTTTTTGATCGAAATCCATCAGATTTTATTGCTCGAAATTTACACTGAATAATAACTATTGTAAATAATAATATTTAATTTGTTATTTATAAGAGACCCAAAAGTGTACAATTGTCTTGCTCAAATAGCGCTTTTATCGCACTGCTGCAATGCGCATTTAGCATATTTGTACATATTTGGAAGATCATATTCAATTTCATATAGAATGCACTTGCCGTCACTCAACTAAATTCTATTGTCAAGAGGACAACAGAGCAGAATGTATAAATAAGCGAATTTCCATTATATACATAATATTAATTCGCCGAATTTGTATTATGTACATAATTTTGTAACGATGCACTCCCCATTGTTCCTGACCAAACGTCGGAAGGCTGCGCCCGGGAAACACCAGCTGGGCAGTGCAGCAGCGCATATGCGCGCCCCTAATCTTTTTCATTATAGTCGCCGAAGCGACTTTTAATTTGTACCTGGCGCAAGGTACAATACTTATACGTACAGCCGAGCGCGCCCGACGACCAACGGAAACAGCCGAATAACGCCGGCGCCAAGTCCCGTTATAATTTCGAGCGGCCAAATAATCCGCCGCAAATCTAGGCGGTATAAATAGCGCCGCGATCCTAAAAACGAGAATTTCGTTTCCTGATCCCGCCAGGTATAGATCTCCGAAATAGTACACGGGAAAACAGAGGTCGAAAATACTCAGTCTCCGCTGCGAATCTCGCAGCAATTCCAATCGGGTACACGACTTTAAGATTTCTTCAAATCTGCCGGCACGAGATCGAAAATCCTCGGTTTCCCCCGAACATTTTTGAGAACCGACTCTCTTTCTCTCTCTCTCTCTCTTTAGCGCCCTGGTTGACGGAGAATATTAGAGCGGCCATGAGGAGCAGGGATGTTGCTAGGAGGAGATGGCGAAAGAAGAAGAGCAATCATCTCTACGAGATTTTCAAACGCCTTACCAATAGGGCCCAACGAATGGTGAGATCTGCTAAGCAGAATTATTATATTGAGGCATTCGCTCGCAAGGATAGCGCCGCCGCTACTTGGAGTAGACTTCGACACTTGAGCCTTGTTGTCGGGGTGAAGGGTGTCAATAAGAGTCTGGTTCTCACTGTCGAAGAGCTGAATAAATTCTTTGTGGATAGTGCTGCAGGGGTCGGCGGGGACGCTGACGGAATAGAGTCCTTCAGTCTTCTTAATGTGGGGTTCGACGAGGGCAATTTTTACTGGAGTTATGTCACACCTTGTGCTATTGGCAAGGCGCTCTCTAGGATAAGATTTAATGCCGTGGGGTCTGACGGTATATCACTCCGTATGATTCGACTGGCGTTGCCTATCATCATGCCGGTGTTGGAGCATGTCTGCAATTACTCATTTACGTGCAGGATCTACCCTGAAGTCTGGAAATCGGCTCTGATTTGTCCTGTTCCTAAGATCAAAAATCCTGTGTTAGCTAACCATTACCGGCCAATTGCGATCCTATCTACTCTGTCGAAGATGCTCGAGCGTGTGGCGTGTGATCAGATCCGTGAATATTTGGAGAGGGAGGGTCTTCTTGATCCTAGGCAGTCGGCATACAGGAGGGGTCATTCGACGCAGACTTGTCTGATTGTTGTGATGGACGAGGTGCGGCGTGCTGCAAATGAGAGGAAGATCACGATATCAATCTTCTTTGATCTTTCAAAGGCGTTCGACAGAGTCCAGCACCATATTTTGATAAGAAAGCTTAGAGGATTGGGATTCTCTAGTTCCTCGCTCAGTTGGATGCAGTCATACCTTGCAGGACGGTCACAGGCGGTGAGAGATAGAATTGCGGGCGTCACTTCCTTTCGGGCTATGCGTGTAGGGGTCCCCCAGGGATCAGTGCTGGGACCACTGCTGTTTACCCTGTACCTAACGGAGTTCCGTGATGCACTGACACATTGTAAATATAATTTTTATGCGGATGACTTACAGATCTATGCACATTGTGAACCGAGGGACCTTGTTGGGGTAATAGACAAAGTAAATCTGGACATAACCTCTGTCCTCACTTGGGCTGGGACCAATGGTCTTATTTTCAATGCAGCAAAGACGCAAGCTGCTATACTGGGGACGTCAAGATATTTAAACACCATTGATCTAGCTTTATTGCCTAAAATTCGAATTGGTGACGAAACTATTGAATACTCTACGCATATCAAATACCTGGGTGTGACTATAGCCAGTAATTTATCATGGAGCAAGCATGTCACTTCAGTGACTAATAAGATCCGATCGACCCTCTATCGGCTTAAGACCTGCAGAAGACTAACTCCAACAGCTCTTAGGAAAAAATTTGTCATGACCTTAATTCTCCCGTTCATTGACTACTGCTGTGCGGTATTCACTGACATGACGGACGAGCACAGCGTAAGACTGCAGCGAGCATTGAATGCGTGTATAAGATACATATATAATCTTAGATATGATGCCCACATCACGCCCTACTATGCAAGATTGGGCTGGCTAAAAGTAGATGCCAGAAGATCCTACTTCGTGGCATGTCTCACCTATAACATATTACGGACCCAGACGCCAGGTCGACTCTGCGAGAGGTTTGCCTTCAGATCGCAAATAACTTCTCGTGTTACTAGGACCACTGACAGTGCACTCTTGCTGCCTCGTTGTCGTACAGAACTCTATAGGAGATCGTTTGGCTTTGTGTCTGCCAAACTGTGAACTAGCTTTCCTGTCAGTATACGGGACTCTCCTAGTATCGAGATCTTTAGGGGGAGACTCTATGTGTATTTGCTTGGTCGAGTTTGTTACGTTGAATTGTGCTAATGCCGTTGGCTGACTCTCTGGCACGCTGTAGTCTCACACTCAGCGATTAGGTGTAACATTGTTGTAATTATACAATTGCATATTCACACGCTATTATACTTTATGCATGCTTTAAACACATTTTATGTACATGCGCATTCACATATGTTAAATTCTATGCGCCCTGCTATTACCTTGTAATTTGTTAATTTTCTGTATATTCTCTTTGTTCGGGCGCTTGAGGGGAGAAGTCCCAGAGCGTCCGTAATAACATTACGTCTCTCTCTCTCTCTCTCTCTCTCTCTCTCTCTCTCTCTCTCTCTCTCTCTCTCTCTCTTCTCTCTCTCTCTCTCCGCGCGCTTTCTGTCCCCTTCTCTTTTTCCCTTTCTCACTCCATCCCCCACCACACTACCCTTCCTCCCACCTTATTTTATATCCAAAATAATTCTTTGCAAAAATTAATATATATTTTACTAAACTTTGCAAAAATATGTAAAATCTGTACAAAAAGACATCACAGATGTTAAAAAAAGCGTTAAGCGTAATATGTTTTGTAAAAACATTAACAAAAATAATTCTTAACAAAAATGATTAAAAATGGTTTTCTTTCAAAATTATATTTTATATCTTTATTAATAATACAAAAAGCTTAAAATGTTCGCATTAAAAAATAGTGAAATAAAAAATCACGCTAAGTAAATCAAAATCGTTGTTTTTAAAGTTTATAACCATCAAAAATATTTAATTTTTGCAAAAATTACATGTAACCAAAATAATTCTTTACAAAATTATTTAAAAATTAAATTTATAAATTATAGTTTATCTTTATTAATAAAAAATTATTAAATATTCACACTAATGTAGTGAAATCGAAAAATCGCGACAAATAAATTTAGAAGAATATGTTTAAAAAAATTAAATTTAAAAAAAATACAAGAAACAAATTCACTCATTTAGAAAGGAACTACATCTTGCTAATTGTTTGCTCCATGTTCGTCGTTTAAGCAAAAGAAATAATTCATTACTAATTTTAGCATCTTAAGTCAGATATACATGTATATGTTTATAAATTCTTAACTCTTATTAAAGAACTAACAATAATTTGCAACATTATGTTGTAATTTTTGTATGAATTTGTTTTTTAAATAATTACTGTAGTATAATACCGAGGAAGACCGCGAACGATTAAAACGTTTATTTTATAATGATTGTAATTTTTGCTTAAGTTTTATTATAGAATATAAATATGATGTTTTCTAATCGGCCTAAGAGCCATAGCACGAAAAATTACGAAAATTAATTATTTGGAACTGTATCTCTTGGTACGAGATTACTAAAGTTCCATATATTAATTAACCTCGAACTTACATGTGGAGAAATAGGCGCAAAAAATATAGGTCCGAAAAGTCGCTGAAGCGGGAATTGAACCCGCGTCTTTCACTTTCCGGGCGACTGCTCTTACCACTAAGCTATTCAGACCTTTTCGATCCTATATTCTTCATTTTGTCTTTTTAGTAGATGTTAGTAAATAACGCCGTGATTAGGCCAAACGTGAATAAACTCAGAAATAAATATTTTTATCGGTTCTCAATATAAACAATATAAATATGATGTTTTCTAATTACGGCGTTATTTACTAACATCTACTAAAAAGGTAAAATGAAGAATATAGGATCGAAAGGGTCTTTATAGCTTAGTAGTAAGAGCAGTCGCCCGAAAAGTGAAAGATGCGGGTTCGATTCCCGCTTCAGCGACTTTTTGGACCTATATTTTTCGCGCCTATTTCTCCACATGTAAGTTCGAAGTTAATTAATATATGGAACTTTAGTAATCTCGTACCAAGAGATACAGTTCCGAATAATTATTTTCGTAATTTTTCGTGCTATGGCTCTTAGGCCGATTAGAAAACATCATATTTATATTGTTTATATTGAGAGCCGATAAAAATATTTATTGCTGAGTTTTATTATAGAATGTTTATAGTTTTCACATAATGTTTAATGTTTAGTATATATATGAATAAATTTTAATTTGACAGAACAACTCTAAGAATTGCTCGATAAGTTGGCCTTCCTATTTCTCATTAGTTGTATATACAATATACGAGCGAAGTTTTGTATTAATTGATATTTAGATTCAAAAAACAAATTTTAAATATTGAAATCAGAGATTTATATAGATTAATCAATTTATTACATGGAAAACTTTACGATATTTCAAGATATGTGGCTAGCAATCTTCCAGTATATATATGAAACAAAATTTTAAAACACCATTTCATTTCGTTTGACAAGTTTCATGATAGACTACATAACAAACATAATAACAAATTTAATTTTCTACTTAAAAGGAAACAAGAGGAATATTTTTAAAATATTAAACCGATTAAACTCAGTTACTCGATCAACAATATAGACACATCGCGATCAATAGTTTTAGTAAACAATAATATAAATAACAAAGACATCGTCATATCTCCAAATAAATTCAGGGACAAACATATTAATCCTTTAACTAGTACTAATAAAAAATGGTTTATTAATTTGACTGACACAATAATTCCTTCCAATGTTACTAACTTATTACAATTTGGGAGTAAATTCGGCCTGCCGTTTAATAATGATAAAAAGTTGGCCATACACGAGTTTATCAAGGATATGGAAGGAAATTCCACCAGTTACAACATCAAAAATTTAAAAACATTGCGCAACAATTTGGTTCCACAACTTTCCAACTTTTTACATGGCAAAACTAAATTTAATTCAATTCATGATGAATTGATTTGTATGCATAAATACACAAGGAAATTTTGCCATAATAATCCTGATATTTTCTTTACAAGGGCCGATAAGGGTAATGTAACAGTCGCGATGACAAAAAAATATTACACGGATAAGATGGAGGGCTTACTTGATGACAATAGCACCTATTCTATCATAAAAAAGAATCCATCCTCTAGAATAGAAAAGGAACTAAACAATACTCTTAAAAAATGGCAAAAAAAGGGTACATTTCCAATAAAGAATATTTTTCACTACGTTCCAGCGACTCCCTTCTTCCAAAATGTTATGGTCTCCCAAAAATACACAAGGAGAATACTCCATTTAGAATTATTGTGTCATCAATTAATGCCACGCTATACTCGATTGCCACATTAAACGGTATATTTTTACATAAAATTATATCAAATGGTATTCCTACGGTAAAAAGCAATGTAAATAACAGTTTTGAATTATATAGCAAACTAGCGGGTAAAAAAGTTAGTACGGAAGATATTCTTATATTGTTAGACGTGGTTTCACTCTTCACTAACATTCCGATAGATCTTGCAATTGAAAGTGTGAACAATAGATGGAATGATATTAACACACATACATTAATTCCAAAAAATGAATTCATTTCTATGGTTAAATTTATACTGTCGTCAACATATTTTATATTTAATGACATTGTTTACAAACAAGTTTATGGCACGCCTATGGGTTCCCCGTTATCGCCAATAATTGCTAATATGGTTATGCAAGATCTGGAAGAATCGATTATTAACACATTCGATTTTAATATCGGAATGTATTATAGATATGTAGATGACATTATTATGGTGGCACCAAAGAATAAGATAGACGGTATATTAAATAAGTTTAATAGTTACCATCAACGACTACAATTTACGGTTGAATACGAAATTAATAGAAGCATAAATTTTTTAGATTTAAACACTAAGATCGGCAACGTCATACACTTAGACTGGTTTCAAAAAAAGACTTGTTCAGGCAGAGTACTATCTTTTGTATCGAATCACCCCATGTGCCACAAAATAAGAGTGATTTATAATCTGATCGATAGAGCATTGTTATTATCTCATCCCATATATCACAAGAAAAATCTAGAACTGTGTATTGAAACATTGTTGGACAACGGTTACCCTATTTATTTAATTTTTAAAGAAATTAATAGGAGAATAAAAGTAGTAAACAATTTGCAGTTTAACAACAATAGAACAAAAGAAATTATAGAGGAAAATAATAAAAAATTTTTTGTCATCTCCTATATTAATAACATCTCGGAAACAATGGCATCGACAATTAAAAAAGCAGATTTTAGAGTAGGGTACCGTTGTCTTAATAATCTTAACAAATTCATCAGAGTCCATAAGGATAAAAATGCGCATAATAGCAATAATAATGTCGTCTACAAAATTAATTGTAAAGACTGTGAAGCTTCATACGTTAGGCAAATCAAAAGAAATATACGTACTAGACTAAAGGAGCATATAAATAACATTAAATTTAATTCTTCTAAGCATTCGGTGGTCTCAGAACATATTGTTGATAAAAAACATGCTTTTGATTGGGATAACGTCAAAATACTTGATATTGAATCTAACTTTATAAAAGACTTATCTCGGAGATGATACACATAAAGGAACAAAAGTATGGTATAAATAATAATACAGACACTGAATTGCTCAACAACGCTTATTTTGACATTCTAGAAGAAATAGGAAATCTTTAGACTTATTAAAATGTTTATGTTTTGCGACTTGACACCTATATATTCAACTTTTCAAATGACTCGACATCAGTCAAGTACTAAGTTCAACAACAATTAGAGGCATGGTCATCTCAATTTATTCGGAGACAATTTTAAGCAACAATTAACTAATTTTTAATTTTTAATTTTTAATTTTTTACACATACATAAGTCAAAAATAAATAGAAACAAAGTTTCGCTCGTATATTGAAAAACAAAAAGTGATAAATGCAAGGCCAACTATCGAGCAATTATTCAAGCTGTTCAATCAAATAACATTTATTTCATATATAAATTATTAAGTTACAATCATTGAATAATAAAATTAACGCAAAAATACAGTTATTCTAAAATAAACGTTTCGACCGCACGCGGTCTTCTTCAGTATATTATTAAAATATAAAATCATTAAAAAATTCATATAATGTTGAAAATTAATTTTAGTTCTTCAGAGTCAAGAGTTTATGAGCAGTTAACGCGTGTTTCAATCCACCATGTGTAAGAAAAATGTCA